ACTAGTTTCAATATGCAGCTGCCAGCCATCTCAGGTATTCGAAGAAGCCTCAATACTTGGAAACTTCAAATTTCAAGACCCCAGTGATTCTTCTTCATCTAGAGTGAATGGGTAGATGGCGAGCTGCTGGTTCGCTACTCCTCAATCACACATCCAGAAGACGACTCCAAAAGACCCTTTTTATTAACAGTCCATGTCTTTCGCTGGAACTCGATCGTTCTGCTTCTTATTCTCCTTGCTGCCGGCCATGTCGGAGCCCTCCGCAGGGGGTTTATTCATTCTTGTTCAGGTCGTTTTCCGCGTACCCATCTCGGGTTCCAGCTTATTCCAGCGACAATGAATCTGGGTCTCATGAGAATTTCCCCATGGAGCTTAAGGAAGACGAGAGCGACGTTGGGAAGATTCCGGTCAAAGCCTACTTCCTCTGCACCAGGTCTTTTTGCCTCTAACACCTGAATTTCTTCAATTATCTTTGTTGCTAAATCGTGTGTGTTAATGCGAAAGACACTGCATTTTTAGGTCGCGTTGCGTAGACCTTGAATTTTGGTTAATGTTCAAGTTACATGTTTGAATTGCTGAGCCGTCGCCATTTTTGTTTGGAATTGTAGTGCTTTTAGTAAAACTCAACTCAACTCAACTACATTAGATTTGCCCTTCGTTGCGTAATGCATCCAAAATGGAAAATTTATCTAAACAATGTTGGTTGGTAAGGGCAGGTATTGAATATGAACACTGTTATTGTTCCAAGATGATGTTCCACTGGCCTTTTATGATTTTAGTTAGATAAGTCTTTAGCAACATTAACTCTCTGTGGCGACCTTCAATGTCACTTGGTTTTTGAATGCTAATAATCTGCTCAAATAGCTTCCTTTTTAAGTTAACTTAGATGAGTGCAATCATTAGGTTTGTTCTGCTTCAAGTTTTACTTGCGTTTCCTGTGTCCCTCTTGCTAAGTCATTGGGATTATTTTTTGGAATTGTTCGCTTCCGAAGAACTGGCTCAGAGATGCAGTTGCTTTCTACATGCTTGCTACGTGTGTTCTTCTTCTCCCTATACTTTCTGGTTCCGCTTTGCTTACCTTTACTGCTTTCGTTCTTTTCCCTCGTGATGGTTCTCAGATTCATCGTTTTGGCAGTATTGATTTGAAGAACATGCAAGGGGAGCATTTAATCAATGTTGTTCCTCCTACCTCTCGTTCAACAAATTATATTGTCCTCAGATACTATGATTACCAACCGGAAATTACTGTAAGTGAAGGAACGAACATGATCCTTCAAATACTCTGATTACTTTCTGCTTCCTGTGCCACTGCCATTACATTCATTCCATGCATTAAAATAATCTGTAATGTTATGGAAATCTGGCCATGATTCAGGCACTTGGAATCAAAGAGAATGTGAGCTGTCGCTACATGGTTGTTTTCCAATATGGTTCTGCTGTTCTTATCAACATTGAAGACCATGAAGTTGAAAGTTACTTAGATTTAGTGCGGAGACATGCTTCAGGGTTGCTTTCCGAGATGAGGAAAGATGGTAAAATCTCTCTACTAAGGTTTCGTGTTGTGATCTGAATAAGAAGATTCGTAGTTTGTGCATATCATATGAAAGCAAGAAAATGCCCGGCTTATTATCTACCTTAGCTTTGATTTTCCCTTTGTCTCTCAGATTATGCCATAAAAGAGAAACCACGCCTAGAAGATGACATGCAAGGAGGTCCAGACTACATAGTCCTAAAAACATTAGATACTGACAGCATCCGTATTATTGGAAGTGTACTTGGCCAAAGTATTGCTCTGGATTACTTTGTTTCACAGGTAAGATGACTTTGAAGCTTCATTTAGCTTGTTGGTGACTACAAAGAAGGTAATGTAAAGATTCTACTTGTATTCTGCAATCTTCATTTGTGTAAGGGCATACTTTGTCTCTCTCTCAGGTTGATGGAATGGTAGAAGAGTTCGCTGGCATAAACCGTGGAATGGAGAAAACTGGAACATTTACAATGGACAGGACAACACTCATCAAACTGGTGGGGAAAGCGAATTCTAATCTAGCTGACGTAATTCTTAAAGTTGGTCTTTTTGAAAGGTAATCAAACGAGAAGAACCATACCAGTTGTTTCTGATGCGCCTTATAATTTGAATGAAAACACATACCTTATCTAGGTATTGATCCAATCACTTGTGCTTTTGAAGGTCTGAAATTGCTTGGAAGGATGCAAAATATTCTCAAATATATGAGTACCTTAGGGATGAATACGAGGTGGCTCAACGATTCGGAAGCTTGGATTTCAAATTGAAATTTGTGGAGGTTTGCTTTCTCCCAACTTTCTGAAGCCAAACCTTGCTTATTAGGTTTCTTCTGGTACTCAAAAAGACCAACCCTTTCTGCTCTGACCTTTCTCCTTTGTGCAGCACAACATTCATTTCCTTCAAGAGGTTATACAGAACAGGCGATCTGATCTCCTGGAATGGTGCATCATCTTCCTCTTAACTTTGGAGAATGCAATATCAATATATGAGATAGTGAGCGGTTCTTAAGTTATATTTTCTATATACCTTTTCTTTTGATAGAGCAGAATATAGTGGGAATTTATTTCATATTAATGACCATTATTGTAGAGGAAAAATTATTGTTTCAGTAGCACAGGAAATCGAAAATTTCCTAAGCAACTCCCCCATTTTGTAATGCCATTGCCGCATACTATCTAATGAAAGAAGAAATTCTCAGAGTTCGCAATTTCTGTTCATTTGAGGCAAAATGTTTTTAAACGGTCCAAGCTTGCACAATTTGGACAAGAATGATGACTATGACCCTATTACCTTACAATTTAAATGAGGCTCTGGAAGAAAGGTAAATATTATATGTTCTGCGTGTTCACTCTATTGTTCCCATGACATTGGGTTAGGTTTTACGGCAAAATTGATATTATTATTGAGAACCTATCATTTTTTTCATACACATGAGTTATTTCTGTGACGTTGACCAAAACTGATAAGTCAAAATGCGTGAATGTTATATCATTAAGCTAGTTGAGTTGAAATTTTTTTCTCTTGAGTTTGAGATTGTTACATCTCAGTTTTTAGCTGATGTTACACAATCATACATACAAAACACTATGAGGTTTAGGGATGTCAATCAAACTCATGGCCGCGGGTACCCGGTCGCCCCCGACCGAGTCAACACGGGGAATCCCCGCATTGATCGGGTATTGAGGCGGGTATGGTTTTAGCCTCCCCCGCCTCATACCCATACCCATACCCGCCCCCACTAAGAGAATTTCTTCACATATAAAAAAAATATTTGGATCAAATTATAATCTATCAATGATGATGAGGATAACTCGAGAAAATAAATGGTAGAAATGCAATTGAGTGACCACCCTAATCAAAACATCATTCATTTCCCTCAATTTTCCTTTCACTTTCACCCTTGTCAACAAGATTATGTTAGTTAAATCAAACAAAGAAGAAGGTTATATAATGAAGTCGGAAATCAAGTCAAGAAAGACAATCAAGTGAACTGGTAAGTCCTATTGTGAAAGCTTATGACACTTGAAATACAATATTCTAGACCCCGTATTATGATCGAAAGTGCATTAATATCCCATTTTTAGCGTCATAATACCTTGGATTTGTGATGTGAATGCTTAAAGTGAGTTTGGGAATGCTTTTGTTATCAAGTTACCCTTTTTTGTAGCGTGTTGTACATTTTCAGGTCAAAGCAGGCCAATGGACATCTTAGGAGCCACAAGGGACATCAATGCCAAGCTGTTGGAGCAAGAATCGAAGAAGGAAACCTGGGCCTAGAAACGCGCACTAATCGGTGGCCCAAAGTGAGAAATGGTGTCGTGACCATTGATTTCGGGAAGTGCTTACTTCATCAAGAAGGCATCCAAAAGTTATATTGAAGTAGTAGCTGCATAGAATGACTCTTGTGATTGGCTGCATGACGTGTCAAGGACGATTTTCTCTCCAAAAAAATTCCTTATCCAAAACCTATATAAAGCTCTCTAGGATTTAGAACTCGGTAGCGAGTGATAGAAAGCAGTTAGAGGGTCATTACCCTGCCGACAGAGTAACTCTCCCGAATTAAAGCGACACTAGTTACCAGGAGGAGTCGGTGGAAGAATCGACACCCTAAGCCTCGATTTCTCTGTTGTGGCTGTCGATTCTAGTGGTCTTTCGGGAGATTTGTTTCAATTGATGACTCTCCAGAAACTCGACTGTCCTCATGGCCGGCTAGTTCCCTTAGTTGCATAGGTGTGCGAACCCTAGAGGTTCTGGATATGTAAAACTCAATGTTTTGGATTCACTATTTCTAGTCAATAAGAGACAGAAACATTAGAGTCAGAAAAGGGCGGCGCGGTCAGACCCAAGAACAATGGGGAGGTGATCAGGACCTTGGTTGATTAATTTCGGACAAGAATAGCCGACATCCAGCCTAGTATCACCCAACCTGCGATTGCTTACGACCAACTTATTGTGCATAAGCCATAGTTCAACTCGTGCAAGATCATTGCACCTTTAAGGGCTTAGAAGGGGAAGACCCCATCACACACCTTCTAGGTTTACAGAGCTAGTTGAATCACTCACTCCTGCCGGAATAGGTATCAATGTGATGGGATGAGATTATTCTTCTTCTCCCTTGATGGGAGAGCAAAAGAATGGTTGAGAGCTTTTCTAAGAGACACATTTGCTTCTTGGGTATAACTTTCTCAAGCTTTCATTGACGAATACTTTCCCGAGTGGAATTCCAATAAGATCCCACAAAAAATCACCAACTTCCATCATAAGGAAGAGGAGGATCTCTACGAGTCATGGGTTCGCTATTCTGCACTGCTCACATTTTTTCCTCACCATGACTATCTTTCTTAATAGCAAGCCCACTGCTTCTATAGGGGACTAAACTAGATAAATTGAATTGGAAACAAAGGAGGGAGTCTCAACATGCATCGATAGGGCAACATTAGAAATGTATACACAAGATGAAGTGAGTATGAAAATGTGGAAGAAATGGTTTCTCCCACGTCTGAAAGAGGCAACACCATTTACAGTGGTTGCCTCAGTGGTGAGCATCACTCCCCAAACAACAGAGAACCTTCGTGCCCAGTTGAACTATGGATTTCAAGAGCTTTGGGCAGTGAGAGCCAAAGGGGGCAAGCGGGTGGAAGATTGCTATGCTCTGAACAACCAATCCAAGTGTGCTAAAAAAGATGAGGTTGAGCAGATCCTGCATAAAACCCTCGAACTTCAATCTCATGTTCGAGTCACTAATGTATTACTCTATGGTTTAGAGGGCAGCACGAAAGATATAAGAATATCAATGAGCGTTATCCTCCAAGCAGTGATCAAGAAAGGAGACGAACCTAAGCCGACTCAACGGGAGCCAACGTAGTCACCCGAAGAGGCCCTTCTAACCCCCTGTTAAGGAAGGAGGGAAAGGGAAGGAAAGGGAGGTGAGGGAAACACACATTCCAATGAAATTTCCATTTTTTTAGCTAGCTACAGTTGGAAAGGAAAGAAAGTGGGAAGAAAAATTCACTGTTTCCTCCACCCCTCCGATTTGGAAGGAAAATATAATTGGGGAGTGCCTAATTTCTAATAGCCCACCATTTTTTTCCCATGGCCCACCAAACCATCTCTCTGTGTGTCCTATCCCAACTCCCAACTCCATTTTCTCTTTCTTTATTTTATTTCCATCTTAATTTCTTTCTCTTTTAATTAGTCTCATTTTTACTTGATCAATTAATGATAGTAAGTAATACGAATAGGAGTAAGTGATGTTGTCATAAATTTTGGTCTTTATACTTTTCATATTATTTTGTTCTTTAAACATAATTTCACATTGTGTGGGATATTATATCGACGGCTTGACAGGATAAACTCTTATCGGAGTCTAAACTGATAATAACAATTGTTCTACCATATTGCATCGGACCAAACCGACGTTTGGATCGGTTGACACTAAATCGAGTATAATGCGACAGTATTGGTCACATGAATTTTCTTATTGCTGAAGAAAAATAGATAGGATTGACAGTTGGACTGTACCAAATGGATGATTTACGTCACGTATTACGTTGTTTTGTGCGATACATAAAACTGTTACGTGAGATTCAAAAGTGTGTTAGGTTTCTAGTAAAAACGACATCAAAGTGATTATTAAAAGTGTTTTAACGTATCACTTTGTTTAACGCGATAAATAAAAAATTTCAAACCATCTACTTTTGATTTTTAATAGTGGACAAAATTAATTAGAAAGTACAAATTTAATTCACAATTCATGATCAATGATAATAATATCAACATATAATCAATTATTTTACTATTATATACCTAATAAAATAATATATTCTTCATAATTCTCAATACACATTTCCTTCCCATTTTTCTCCATAAAACACCATTTTCCTTTCAATTTCCTTAACCTCCTAATTCCCCTCCCCTCCTAGTTTCCTTCCCCTTCCCTCCATTTTCCTCCCTTCTTTCGGCAACAGGGAGTAAAGGAAATAACTCTCCGTAGTGGAAGAGAGAATTTACTTCCCAGAGCTACCCGCATCTACAGACTGAGATATTTCATCATCTCCTCCCATAACTAATCATTCACCTCATGAGGAGGCACGAGTTGTGGAGGAAGTGTAGGGCAAGCCAATTCCCGATGTTATATCAACTAGGGCACCTTACTCTCCATGATTAAGAGGAATAAAATCGAGCAAGAGGCTAAACAAAATCTCTTCAGTACAACTAGGAGAGGAGTGTTTGGGTGTCCTTAGCCAACGCCACCTCCCTTGAAAAATAAAAGATCCCGAGAGCTTCACCCTGTCATGCACTATCAGCAGATCCAAGATCCCTTGTAGCCTAGTAGATTCTGGGGCTAGCATCAATATGATGCCTTATTGACTTTTTCAGAAGCTGCAGCTAAATGGCCTAGCCCCTATTTGAATTATGCTGCAACTGCTGATAAGTCCACTCGCCAACCTCGGGCCATATTTGAGGACATCATGGTAGACGTGGGTCCCTTCATCTTTCCAGCCGACTTTGTGGTTATGCACACTAGTGACTCTGATGGCACACACGGGATTTGAAACCAAATATTGTCAAAATACAACCAGTAGGTATCACAACTCGTAGGTGCATAAAAAATGAATCCCAACCGGCAGAGAGTATCCCAAAGAGGCACTATAATTGACAACAAATTTTGTCACACGATTAACATAATCTATACCCTTTCCATTGTCTCATATAAAAAGAATGGATGAATGGGAGTTTTACATGATTTTTGCTATTTGAAATTTTTTTTACTTCTCTTTAATTGTAGGTAAAATATAAAAGTAATTATTTCTTGGTTTTAGATACTAACAAAAACATTTTTGTCCCTTTTTTTAGTCCAAGCAGAGAGGGCGAGAGAGAATGGATGTAACAATTTAGAAAAACCCTCATCGCCAAAGTACGAGAGAGATCCATGGTTCATAAGGAACAATCTAACATTAACTGACAACATGTGTTTTGCGATGAAATGGACGAGTTCTTGTAAGAACTATGAAGTTAGATGTGCTTAGTGTGGAGCAGCAGAAAGATATGTGTCCTCGCGCAAAGTCATTAAGATGTGTCCAAAAGCAAAATCTTGCAAGGGTATGCCCAAATCAAAGAATATCAGAAAAGGGTTGCGATGTTTCAAGTAGTATCAAAGTCTCTTTGCGTCCCTCTTGAACGTTGGCAGGGCAAACCTCAACGAAGACGTTGAGTGCAAAAGGGGTGCAATGTAACACCTTAGGAAAATCTGACATCGACAAAGCACGGGAGAGACCCATGATTCATATGAACAATTCAACCTTAACTGACAAGGCACATTTGGTGTGAAATGAATGAGTTTTTGTAAGAAATATGAAGTGAAACATGCTTAGTGGAGCAGTACAAATATGTGTGATCTCCCGAGAATCACCATAAATTTGCCTAAAAGGAAACCGTGCGGGTTAGGCTGAAAGTGGATAATATCTTGGTCATAAAAGGGTTAGGATGTTTCAAGTGTTATAAGAGCCTCTTTACTTTTCTCTTCAAAGATGGTGGGGCAAATCTCAACAAGGATGTTGAGTCCCAAAGGGGGTACAATGTAACACCTTAGACAAATATAGCATTGACAAAGTACGGGAGAAACCCACGGTTCATAAGGAACAATCCAACTCTAACTGAAAAGACGCATTTTGGGTTGAAATGTATGAGTTTTTGTGATATCTATGAAGTTAAGCGTGCTTAGTGTGGAGTAGTTTAAAGATGGCTAACCTCCTCAGAAGTCACCATGATATGCCAAAAGCAAAATCATTCGGGGATATGCCCAAATAGGACAATATTTTCGTTCAAAAAGAGTTGAGATGTTACGAGGTAGAAATAATGTAAAAGTGGGATATACAACTTAAACCAAAAAAAAAAATTAATTCTTTTATAAGAGAAATTTAAAAATCCTATATTTTTTCGTAACATTTCCCTTTATTTTATCTTTATTGTATATCATTTTTTTTTGAAAATCTTGTTTGACTACGGTCTACGTACACTTAGTACAAATAGTTGCATATTAATTATTATAAATAAACAATAGCTCATAAACTATTATTAAGACTTGGACAATTTCTATTAAGATACACTTATACAGATAAAGATCTCAACTAAAATCTCTAATAAAAAATTTAATTGAGATAGTTCAATAAATAATAAACCTAAATATTCCAGCCAACTGGCTGTGTACAGTATGATTCGATGATAAATATCTTTTTTAAACTAAATTTGAGTTAGAAAATGGCTCAAAAGTGTGAACGAGCATTACCACAAAGCAGGCCACGATTTGAAACAAGAAATGGATCAACCAACTATAGTGGTCCATCAAAATTGCAGGTCGTTGTATGTTATTGCGTTAATTGAACAGTTGGGAACTCACGAAAAACAACACTCAGCATACTCTAAACATCATGGGACATATTCCAAGACACTATATATTATAAAATTGTAATAGATGTTAGGTTTTTATTTTTTTTAATAAGGAGTTCATTGGATAATGACTCCACAATTAGGGTGGAAATCGGTACGGTATCGGTATCCCAATATCAAATACTGAAATCTCGAATACCGACTTATCACTTACAATCAATCTCAATCCCTAATTAATTTCGGTATCCCAATCCCTTAATATTTCGGTATCCCAATCGGTATTTCGATATCCCAATCAGTATTATCGAATATAAAATTAATTATCTTTGCAATTAATAATTAAATATATAAATTAGATTTGGTTCTTTAATTTAGGACAAAAAGACTAAGCAAAGAGTCTTGAGCATGCTTAGAGCTTGGACATGGATATGGAGAAGGGAGGAGAGGTGGCAACTCAAATTCTTGTGATTGATAATCTTTAATTCGACGAATTGGAGGTTGAGAGACGACTAATACTAGCATTTTCTCTTTGATGTTATGAAAATAACAAATGATTAGATGAGAGAAGAGAGTGACTTAAACGGGAAAACCAAAGGGACTTGTGAGTTATGAAAGACTGGGGAATGACCAAAAGTTGTGTGCTATATTTCATATTTTTTTTATTTTGTTGTTTCTCGGTATTTCGATATATACCGATCTCAATCTCGTAATCCCTAATACCGAATAGTACTCCAAAATGAATCCCAATCTCAATCCCTAAAAAATAAATTGGTAGTTTGGTACGGTATTCGGTATAATCCCAAATACCGGTACCAAACTTCCAGCCCTATCCACAGTGGTGGACATATACATGGGAAAGGCCCAAGGAAGGAACAAACTACATAAGAACAAGAGCCCAACAGACAAACCACTCCAAGTACAGCAAATCCCAACCGAACAGTGGTTTGAACAAGAAACAGTTATCCCAAAATCAATCTTCCATGAGAAGTCGTTGTTGGTCATCCATGTCGCGATCCAAGATCCATCGTTGATGAACCGAACCACTCACCCTCCAATCTACTTCGCATGCCCACAGCGTCAGGAAAGATCACCCAAAACATATTCATCAGCTGCATCACCAGAAAATGATAATATGAAGAGACGAAACCACCCATAGAAGAAGCACACAGTTGACCGAAGAAGACTCCAGGAAGAAACAGATCTTGAGCCCCTATGTTGAATGTTCCCCGCCTTCAAGTTACCTGAAGCTAAAACCAAGGGAGAGTCACAATAGGATTCCCAAAAGCTTCTCCAAAACACCCAGTAATAGAGGTGAAGCAAGGAGCAGACTCAGATTCGAGAATCGAGAAAGCTAGTGGAGAGAATCCCAACCCCCTCTATCTTCAGCAAAATCATCTCAATGTTCGGATCTGGTAGATAAAACATGAGGAAAAAAAGAAACGTTCATCTTCTAAGAAGAGGAAGGGAGAAAAGCCC